AATCCGCACAAAGCAACTGGCCCAGACAACATCCCCGGAAAAGTGTTGAAGGAATGTGCTGATCAGCTCTGTGAGGTGCTGGCAGACATCTTTAACACCTCACTTACCCTGGAGACAGTTCCCACCTGCCTGAAGACTGCCACCATCATCCCAGTCCCAAAAAGCTCTACAGTGACTGGTCTGAATGACTATCGGCCAGTGGCCCTCACCCCGATAGTCGCTAAATGCTTTGAAAAACTGGTCATGACTCACATCAAAACAACCATCAACATCAATGAGGACCCTCATCAGTACGCATACCGTGAGAACCGATCAACAGAGGATGCAATCTCCTCTGTGGTCCACACTGCACTCAACCACCTGGAGCAGAAAAACTCTTACGTCCGTATGCTCTTTGTGGACTTCACATCCGCCTTCAACACCATGATCCCCCAAACCCTGATGGACAAACTATCCACACTAGGACTAAGCCTCTCCATTTGCAACTGGGTACTAGACTTTTTAACAAACAGACCACAGTTAGTGAGGATCCACAACCTCTCCTCCTCCACCATAACCCTCAGCACTGGCCCTCCTCAGGGATGTGTGTTGAGCCCCCTCCTGTTTACTCTGCTCACATATGATTGTGCAGCTACCCATCCAGGCTGTCACATTGTAAAGTTTGCAGATGATACAGCGGTGGTGGGATGCATCACAAACAATGATGAGTCCAGCTACAGGCAAGAGGTGGAACACCTGGAGAGCTGGTGCAGAGAGAATAACCTTCACATCAATGTTAAGAAGACAAAGGAGATGATTGTGGACTTCAGAAGGAACAAAAACACCTACACCCCCCTGAATATAAGAGGATCTGCGGTGGAAGTGGTCTCCAGCTACAAGTACTTGGGTGTACACATGAATGACAACCTCAGCTGGAGCAACAACACCACCAGCCTGATCAAGAAAGCTCATCAGAGACTCTACTTCCTCAGACAGCTGAGGCGAGCTGGTCTGGGAAGCTCAGTCCTCACCTCCTTCTACAGGTGTGCAGTGGAGAGCATCCTGTGCTCGAGCATCAATGTGTGGCATGGAGGCTGCACAGCTGCAGAAAGAAAAGCTTTGCAGAGCGTGGTGAAGGCTGCACAGAAATCTGTTGGAATCAGCCTCCCCACCATCACAGACATTTACACCTCCAGATGCAGGAAGAGGGCCACCTGCATCATGAAGGACCCCACTCACCCAGCACACACACTTTTTGCCCCACTCCCCTCAGGAAGGAGGTTAAGGAGCATTAAATGTAGAACCACTAGACTGAGGAACAGCTTCTACCCTGAGGCTGTTAGACTCATGAATCTCTAACTAGAATAATCACTGTGAAAAACCATATCATGTTGCTGCTGATCTGTTTCAATGTTGATGTGTTCATGCATGCACATCTGCTCACACAGACTCATGTTCATGTTTGTGCTGATGTTCAATGTTTTATGTTATGAGTGCTTAGTGTATATTTAGTTGATGTTTTTCTTAGTTCATATCTTAGATGTTATTACTGTTTTTCTTATACATTTTATTGTTGGATGTAACTGGGACCCCGTGTACATAATTTCGCTCCACCACATGTACCACATGAGGTGCGAATGACAATAAAGAAACTCTGACTCTGACTCTGACTGACTCTGATACATAAAAAGCCAATAAGTAGAAGTTATCTAAGGAATCTCATCTTCGGCCAGCAGATTGTGTTGAATCTTCACTCCGTCACAGTCTGTAGCTGGACTCTTCTTTAAGAAGTTCAGTTATCTGGGAGGGGCTCAGAGTAGAGCCGCTGCTCCTCCACATTGAAAGGAGCCAGTTAAGGTTGTTTGGGCATCTGGTTAGAATGCTTCCTAGGCCAGCAGACTGTGTTGAATCTTCACTTTGTCGCAGTTTCCCTTCAATGCAGGTTCCGTCCTGGCTGTGGAACACTGGACCAGCTCTTTACACTCTCTAGAGTCCTCGAGGGGTCATGGGAGTTTGTCCATCCAGTCTACATGTGTTTTGTGGACTTGGAGAAGGCATCTGACCGTGTTCCTTGAGATGCAATGTTGGGGGTGCTCTGTGAGTATGGGATTGGGGGCCCATTGCTATGGGTGGTCGCCACTGATTCTGTGCATAATTTTTATGGACATAATTTCTAGGTGCTGCCAGGGGATGGAAAGTAGTGTTTTGTTTAAGACCACCTAACCTGAGACCAAGTCAAGACCAAGACTTTTAGGGTCCGAGACCAAGTCAAGACCAAGACCTCCATCCATCCATCCATTTTCTTTACCCGCTTATTCCATTTTTGGGTCACGGGGGTCGCTGGTGCCCATGTCCAGCAATCACTGTGCGAGGGGTGGGGTACACCCTGGACGGGTCGCAAGTTCATCACAGGGCCACATAGAAACAAACGAGACAAACAAACATTCACTCTCTCACTCACACCTAGGGACAATTTAGAGTTACCAATCAGCCTAACATGCATGTTTTTGGACTGTGGGAGGAAACTGGAGTACCCGGAGAAAACCCACGTATGCACGGAGAGAACATGCAAACTCCACCCAGAAAGGCCCCTGGACCGGGGTTTGAACCAGGGACCTGCTCGCTGAGAGGCAGCAGCTCTACCAGTTGTGCCACCGTGTTGCCCTGACCAAGACCTCAAATAAAATAAATAAATGTAAAATTTCATTATAAAATATTTTTTATAAAAGTTACATAATGTAACTTTAAGTTGGCTTTTGAATGAATATACCAGCTTTTATAAATTTTCAAAGCTATATAACAAAGAAATCAGACATTCAGTGGCCTAACTGCATGTAATTCACCAATAAAATTACACAACTGTTAAATTGGAAGCAGTTTCATCACATGCCAAGCCCTAAAAAGCTGCAGTGGCAAAACACTCTGCATAAGTCAAAACTCAAAACCAATAATAACCATATAGTTGCATTAGTTATAAGTATATTCTTTGCGATTTAAATAGGCAAATTTTATAACTGATGATATGGCAGACATCTTCTCCCACACCCAGACAATCACTTCTCATTTTCTTGGAGTGACCAGTGTTGCCAGATAGAGTTGAGGTTTTCCAGCCCAAAAAACCGCCACATCACACAAAAATCTGCCCAATCATTATATTGTTACAATATATTTACTGTTTGAACATGAACACACATCACAAGCCAAGGTAATTTAACAATAATTAATTACTGTTTTTGTTAAGCACTTTGGTCACCATCACTATGGTTGTGTAAAGCGCTATAGAAATGAATGAATGAATGAATGAATGAACAATACTGTATGTGGCAAAATGCAACAATCCAACAAAAATTTTCCCAGAGTTCCCAGCAAAATCAGAATGAAAACCACCCAATTGGCAGTAAACCAGCCAATCTGGCCACACTGGGAGTGATACATGCGAGTGAAAGAGGGTGGGCGTGACAGTGGTAACAAAAAATGTATTTAGCAATGAGTCATGTTATCGCTTGGATTTGAACCAATTGTGGTCTTGACTGGTCTTGAAATAAAATCCTGAGTCCTCAATGTCTGAGGCCAAGACAAGACCGAGACCATCAAAACGTGGTCTTGAGACTGGTCTCAAGACCAAGACCGGTCTCGAGTACTACAACACTAGTGGAAAGAGTCCGGTCCGGTGACCTCAAAGTTCCTTCTCTGTTATTTGTGGAAGAAGTGATCCTGTTGGCATAACCATGCCATGATCTTCAGCTCTCACTGGAGCAGTTCACAGCTGAGTGTGAAGCGATTGGGATGAGAATCAGCCCCTCCAAATTTCAGTCCATGGTCATCAGTCAGAAAAGGGTGGATTGCTCTCTTCGGGTCAAGGGTGAGGTTCTGCCTCAAGTGGAGGAGTTTAAGTATCTTGGGGTTTTGTTCATAAGTGAGGGAGGAATGGAGCACGAGTAACAGACTGATTGGTGAAGTGTCTGCAGTATTGTGGACTCTGTGCTTGTCTGTTGTGGTGAAGGAGGAGTTGAGCTGTAAGGCGAAGCTCTCTGTTTATCGGTCAGTCTACGTTCCTACACTCACCTATGGCCGCAGACTCTGGTTCGTGACAAAAAGAATGAGATCACCGATACAGGTGGTTGAAATGAGTTTCCTTTGCAGGGTAGCTGGACTCTCTCTTAGAGATAGGGTGAGAAGTGCAGTTATCTGGGAGAATCTCAGAGAAGAACCGCTGCTCCTCCACATCAAGAGGAGCCAGTTGAGGTGGTTCGGGTATCTGGTAAGGATGCTCCCTGGGTGCCTCCCCAGGGAGGTGCTTCGAGCATGTCCGACTGGAAGGAGATCCCGGGGAAGACCCAGGACACATTGGAGAGACTATGTCTCTTGGGTTGCCTAGGAACGCCTTGGAGTCCTCCCAGAAGAGCTGGAAAAGGTGGCTGTGGAAATAGATTTCTAGGCCTCACTGCTCAAGCTGCTGCCCCCATGACCCAACTTCAGAATAAGCAGGAGATGATGGATGGGTGGATGGATGACTGAGATTGTGGATGTCTGAAATGCGTTTCTTCTACTTTAAACTTTTTTTCTACAGTCTTCATTCTAGATTCAAGTTCAAGGTTCATAAATATACTATGAAAACCACTTAAAACACTGACTATAACTGAATTCAAACATTGACGCAACGTTTTTCAAACTACCATATGTCACCAATTTATAGAAAATTAGGCCAACAGAAGCAAAAAAGAGGTGTTTATTAATAATTACAGTAGCTATCACAACCTTTCATCCAGTAATCAGCCATATAAAATTTAAAGATTAAGTTTGATCAGGAATCTCTGACTTTCTCAGTTAAAGTTTTAACGTCAGGAGATGTTCCTGTAGATATTTTCTGACTTGAAATTTAGAAATTCCAACTTCTAAGTACAAAGTAAACACTCCATATTTCTCTAAACTTTGGCTATTCCAAAGGTTAATGTATCTGCAACAGGCAAGATATTTATTATACATGACTTTTCTATAAAGCCCCAATTTAAAAATGGCACCATCTCTTTATGTGTTTGGTTGTGAATACAATCCAATGGCAAGAAGAAAATAAGGGATTGATAACCTGAAGAAAGAAGAGGCGTTGAGTGGCCTCTTGGATCAGCTCCTCAGCCACATCTTCAGGGTAAAACTTGGCCCTGAACTTAATCAACAAAGGGTTATTCTTCTTTACATCTTGAGCTGTCACCTGGGATTCAAACCCCACAGGAGAGGCGAGACCAAGAATCAACAAGCAGATGCTAATTAGTCTTAATGGGATTATAATCACAACATTTGTACAAAGGAGTCACTTCAGCGTTTTAGGTTCTTAACTCACCCTCTTGTTCATTTTGAGCCAGGTGGAGTAGCCTTTACTGTCCTGAAACTGAAGGCCAAAGAACCACGTTTCTCTCAGCCCGATTGTCTTCACAACCTAAACACATCAGTGAATATCATCCTGATCATGTTTATTTATGTCAAAGCATGAGTTTAATTGTCCTTCACACTGTACCTGGTCAAAAAGCTGTTTGCCAGTTGTGCTGGGCAGAATGGCAAATTCCAGCTCTGCATCCATCGTTGTAACTCGAACATTTAGCTACAGGAGAAAACAGAGGAGAAAGCTCCCTGCTGTTCATTTATTAAAGTCACCGGAGAACCATTAAAAGAAACATGCATGCGTCACAAGTGGGTGAAAAAGAGCAGTACTGCCAATTCTGCAATGACACTGTTTGCTCTTTGAAACAAACTGGGTTAAATTTGATGGCGTCTTTACAGCAAAATGACAAAAAAGAGAAGTTGTTCTTACATTCTTCTGTTCAACCAGGAGCATCCAATCACAAGAGGTTGGTGGGGACTACAATCAAAAGATGAAGCCCATAGTGGATTTTAGACTTAACTGAGAGCACGGGATTCATTATGTGATACAAAAGTGTTCAGGATGGGTCAAAACATTGACATCACATATGGTATACAGATGAGTTAACCCATAATGACTTGTAAAAAAAATAAAAAATATATAACTTATTTCCAAGAACCATAAAAATGTCAGATTATATGCACCTGCCCTGAAGGTTAGGCAATTCAGATTCCTATTTCTGGCTTTTGTAATAATAACGCACTACAAATGATCGTTACTATAGGTTTGAAAAATCCACAATTTGAAAAATTATATAAAAAAAAATAAATAAATAGCTGGAATAAATCCTAAAAAACAATTACAAACATTAAAAATATATGTTACATGAAAAACATTATCAAACGGTTCAAAACTACAACACACATAGAATTAAATTCTAACAAAAATATTTAGCCCACAAATGAAGCATAACTAAAAATATATAAAAATAACTATTGATGACTACTTACGGTTGACATTTGAGTGTTTTACGAATGTCAAAAGTCGTCCTGACAGAGGTACTTGTTGTAGCGGTTTCCTTGCAGTCACATGAAAGTGCTTGTAATACCTATAAGGATTACAGCGGGTGAGAATAGAACATTGTATTGTTACTAAGTGCCTCTTGTTTAGTTAATCCACCTGCAACCTCCGCCCAGACGTTTTAAAGAGGCAGTCTTTAGCTTCTGTAAACACATTTCATTTGAAACTGATGTAAGAATTTAGTTTTGTACCACTCGTGTAATTTTTGTTATTTAAAGAGGAATAAAAGTCAACGGGAATTCAGGTTCAGTTTATGATTAGTAGAGTTATTAAAATTTCTTCTGGAATTAAAAAACATCTTCTTGGCTTATGCAACAGTGAAATGTCGTTGTCCATAAATATGTTCAAAATATCCCCATTTTGAAAATCAAGTTTCTGTCAAGAAGATACTGAAAGGAATAATCTGCATCAAGCATGCAGAGGATAAACATCGTTACAAATACAAAACTGGTTGAGTCGTGCAAGTAAAAGAGCAGCAGAGTGAGGAAATGTGGCCAATTTGTCCTCCAGCAGTCTAAGCCTATAGCAGCATAACTAAGGGATAGCTCAGGAAACCCAAGCATCCCTAATTATAGGATTTATCAAAAAGGCAAGACTTAAGCCTAGTCTTAAAGTGGACAATGTGTCAATCTCACAGACAGAAACTGGAAGTTGGTTCCATAAGAGGAGGATGATAACAAAGATCTGCCTCTCATTCTACTTTTGGAAACTCTAGGAACCACAAGTAAACCTAAAGTCTGAGAACAAAGTGCTCTGTTAGGAAAATATAGAACAACAAGATCTGTAATACAAGATGGAGCTACTGTAAGTTGTTGAAAGTTTTGTAGGTTAGAAGTAAGATTTTGAATTTTATTCTGAATTTGACAGGGAGCCAATGGAGAGAAACCAAAACTGGAGAGTTATGATCTCGCCTACTAACTCATTAAGTCTGTATTTTGGATCAACTGAAGACTTTTTGAAGAGGGTTTTGGACACCCAGATAGTAAACAATAGCAATTGTCCAGCCTAGACGTTATAAATGCATGGACCAGTTTTTCTGCATCATTTATGGACAAGATGTTTCCAATTTTAGTGATATTATGCAGGTGGAGGAAAACGGTTCTGTTAATGTTTTTAATGTAGGGGTTAAAAGACATATCCTGATCACAAATAACACTAATTTTTTAAATTTTGAAACTGGATGACAAATTAATGCCATATAGAGAAAGTGAAAGACTGCAAAATTTATTCCTAAGATGTTCAGGTCCAAAAACCGCAACCTCTGTCTTGTCTGAGTTTAAACGCAGAAAATTAAGGGTCATCCAGGTTTTTATGTCTTTAAGACATGCTTGTAGTCTAAACAACCCATTGGATTCATTGGGGTCATGGACAAATGTAACAGTATCATCAGCATAACAATGAAAATTTATCCCATGCTGTTTAATAACTTTACCTAATGGAAGCATATATAAAATAGAGTATTGGTTCAAGCACTGAACCCTGAGGAACCCCATGACCATGATTAACTATATGAAGAACACTATTTTTTTACATTTACAAACTGGAATCTATCAAACAAATATGTTTTTAAACTATTTCAAAGTTGTTCCTGTAATCCCAATATCATATTCAAGCCTCTGTAGTAAAATATTGTGATCAACTGTATCAAATGCAGCACTGAGGTCTAACAGGACCAATATAGACACAAGTCCATTGTCTGAGGCCATGAGAATATTATTAGTAATTTTCACCAGGGCTGTTTCCGTGCTATGATGAGCTCTAAACCCTGACTAAAAGTTGTCAAACAGATTATTTCTGTTCAGATGTTCACTCAACTGACCTGCAACTATTTTCTCAAGATTTTCTGAGCTGAATGTTAGATTAGATATAGGTCTAAAATTGGCTAGGATTCCTGAGTCATGGTTCGACAGAGATAGGGCTTTTCATTAGTCTAGCTATACTGAACAGAAACCTGGGGTAATTTTAATTCTAATCTATTAAAGATGAATAATATACAGTTCTAGCTTTAAGGAGAGCTTTCTTTTATGTAAGCAGGTTATCTCTCCAAGATAAATAAAATTATTCCATGTTAGTGCTGGCTTCCTTCCTTAGATAAATAATGTTATTTATTTAATTTTTATGAATATGAATGTTTTTGTTCAGTGCCATGAGATAACTGTTGTGACTTGGTACTATACAAATAAACTGAATTGGAGTGCCATTTTCTTTCCAGCTGTCTATGTCAAGGTCAAGCTCAGGGTTTTCTTTGCCATTCCCATCTCATGTGGTACATGTGGTGGAACGAAATTATGTACACAGGGTCCCAGTTACATCCAACAAAGTATAAATTATAAAAGAAAAACAATAATAAAATCTAAGATATAAACTAAGAAATACACTAAAGAAATATGCTTAACACTTAATAGTGTAAAAACAATACGCTGAACAACAGCAGCACAAACATGAGTCTGTGTGAGCAGATGAGTATGAATGAAAACAAATAAACACAGCAGCATGAAATAAATCAGCAGCATAAGATCAGCAGCATGGATAGTCAGCAGCACATATCAACAATCAAGTCTAGATGCCAGTTTTAAAGTACGTAACTCAGAACTGAATCAAGGAGCCAGCATCCTCTGATTGATTACTTTCTTTTACAGCAGAGCAATTTTATCAAGTGAAGTTTGCATTGAAGTTGTAAAATTATCAACAAGATCATCCAAGTCACTGTTCTCTGATGCAGTACTCTGCAAGACAGAGGAAAACACTGATGGAAGAGATTTTTTTTATTTGGTTACTGCATTCTCTGATAAACGCCTACTATAATGAAATTTACTCTCAGTGGCTGTGTAGTCATTTAATATAAACTCAAAGGTTATTAAAAATGGTCAGATTGAAGAGGATTTTGAGGATGTATAAATTAATACTTAATCTCTATGTCATATGTCAAAACCAGATCGGGAGCTAGGGTACACTCTGGACAGATGACCAACGTACCTCAGGGCCAACACAAAGACAAATGAGAAAACCCATGGCATATGTGGGGAGAGCATTTGTATCCCACACAGAAAGACTGAGATTCAAACCGGAGACCTTCTTGCCTTCTGCAACTGAGTAGTCTTATCATTCTGCACATAGATTTAAAAAGATTTTAGTAAATTTCTCTTCACAGAGTAGCTTCAACCAATCTCAGATTGGGGTTTTCCTCATAAAAGCTTCTTGCTTCATAGGCTTCTACAACTTTTCTTTCTAATTAAGATCATGATTTTGTGGCATCAATTTTATGTAGTATTTTAGGGCTTTGATGAGATACAGACATCTGACATAACAATTTGGGTCTTTGAGATAACAAAAAGGACTTTCATATAATAACTGAGGACTTTGACAAAGTGACTTTGGACTTTAACGTAGCAATTTGGGACTGTGGCATATCGATTCAGGACTTTGACAAAGCAACATGGGACTGTGATTTAGTAATTCAGGACTTTGATATAGAAATTCTTGAGATATTTTATTTGCTTTTTTTTTTAAAGCAAATATTTGCATAGAGGTCTTCAAGATGTCTGGCATTGCTGAATGACAAAATTACTAATATAAATCAGTTCAATCAAACAGATGATCTGGAATTTTCCTTAGAATTTATTGACATTAAAACACATTGTTTCATCAGCGAAGGCTCTTTTTAAGTCACAGCAATATATATGAGAGCCATGATACTACCACCACCGTCTTTTACAACAGTATATAGTTACTGTGTTGGAGGACGAATTGGAGGGCGTTTGAGTAAGACATTTTGTGTCACTTCCTTTTTGTCTCTGTTGGTAGCTGGAGTAATTTATTTGCTCGAGGAGTCTTGTTTTTCTGGATATATCTAGCTTTTGCACAATTTTACATTCTAGTACACAAACACCCTTAATATAGTTGTTTTTCTACTGTTGGATGGTAGCTTTGAAGGAGAGGCTGTCTGAAATAAAAACTCAATTCCTTGCTATTGAAAAACCATTACCTAGCCAGGTCCCCATAGGCAACATGGAGCCACTGAGGCTAGGTCTCACTCGGTGACAGCTTGGGTAAATTCTAACTTGACTTGTTCAGCTCGATTTGACATGTTGCAGTTGTACTACCAAATGCTCCTTGTATTTGATCAATTGTGACAACTTTTGTCATATTCAGAT